CCCTGGCACTCCTCCAGAATAATAAGCTGTGCGTGTATTTAGAGCCCGCACAATGCCCAGCCAAAGTTTACAGCCGCAGATGCCCTGCAGGAGCCTGGTGTCCAGGCTCTCTGGCAGCCAAAAGGGCTGTAGAGAGCAGGGCCAGCGACTAGGGGAGGAGGTGTGCGTCAAGGAGCCGTCGCAGGTAATTCACATGACAGCGTCTGGGTTGGAAGACAACATGGCTGTCAAACTGAGCAGCTCCATAGGAATTAAAGGCAATATCACAAGAATTGGTCCTCTAAAGCAGTGCTGCTCCATCTTAGCAACTTTTAAGATGTGTGGACCAACTCCCAGAATTCATGCTGGCTGAGGAATTCTGGGAGTTGAAGTCCACACATCTTAGAACTGCTGGGGTTGAGACACATGGCTCTAGTGCCATGTTTCTCAACCTTGGCAACTTTAAGATGTTTGGACTTCCAACTCCCAGAATTCCCTAGCCCAGCCTGCTGGCTGGGGAATTCTGGAAATTGAAGTCAAGACACCTTAAAGTTGCCAAGATTGAGAAACACCGCTCTAATGAGTCAGCCAGGCCTCTTTGTCGTGAGGTTATCAGGACGTGGGGGTCAGCCCCCAGCCTCCCACTGGGGAAGGTGGTGACCATCCAATGAGCTGGCTGAGAATTTTGGAGGCTGTAGCCCAACCCATCTTGTGAGGTGGCTGTCTGAACTGATGAGTTATTTTCTGAAATATTTTCTCCCCATGCAACATAAAATAAATGCAGACATGTGCAAAATGCAATGCCTAGTTCAGACTGTGGATTCTCATACTTCTGAAAAAGTAAAGTTAAAAAAATCCCTTCTCTTGAGAGATGGGAACAGCAAAAGTACTTAAGTGGTATTTTAAAAAAACAGGAGCCAGCAGCTCTGGTTTCAAAATAATTGCATTACTGTTGATTTTTGTTTCTTTTTTCCATGTACCAAAAAAATGGGCAAAGGAAGGGGGAAATGCTATTAATTATCACTGAGTTATGAAATCAAATGTGAAATGGAAGAGTAAAGCCCCCCCCGCCATGAAGAGTGAGAGCAGGAGACATTCGATCCTCCGCGCACGGGTGCCAGGATGCCTGTCTCCTCACATCTCCTCCCATGTCAACAACTCCAAGAGCAGAAGGAAAGGGATGAAGCACTCTCAGACCCTCCACTCTGGCTGGCCATCTGGGCAGGGGGTGATGTCACCCCACAAACTAAGGTCAAGGTGGGCAGCTGGCCAGGTTCCTTGGTCCAGGACAGAGCTGGGAGGGGGAGAAGGGCAAGAGCCAGAGACGCAGCGCCCAGCCAGGACCGGCCCATGGCTCAGTGCAGAAGCACCTCCAGGAAGCCCCGGTCACCTCGAGCAGCGTGCTGGGAGCCCCCGGGTGGGATGCTACGATTCATGGGCCAGCGTGGCTTTATCGTAAACAGCTGGGCCAGAGCAACCTCATTTGGGAAGTAATTGTCTCCCCTGGCCAGACCCCATTTGGGGTCCTGTGTCCAGTTCTGGGCACCCAAGTTCAAAAAGGACAGCGGCAAACTGGAGCAGATTGAGAGGAGGGCTACCAAGACGGTAGAGGGTCTGGAACCAAGCCTTCCAGGGAACAATTGACGGATCTAGTTATGTTTAGCCCACAGAAGAGAGGTTGGGGTGAGAAGTTCTCATGCAGAAGAGGACTTATCCTCTATTGCCCCAGAGAGCAGGACCAGAACTACAGAGGAGGAGCTTCGGGCTAGATGTCAAGAGGAACTTCCTGGCTGACAAGCCGTTAGCAGATGGAACAGGCTGCCACAAGAAGTGGGGAGTTCTCCTTTGCTAGAGGTGAGATGGTCATTCTGCACTGAGCAGGGAGTTTCACATGGAGGACCTCTAAGTCCCTTTGAAGCTGCCAAGCCCAGCTGCAGGAAACGGATGGGCAGAGGGACATGGCCATCCAGAGAGCACAGAGGGTACCAGACCCAGTGCAACAAACACTGGATCCCAAGTCCCTGGTCTGAGTCCCAGCACTGCCTCCCCTTGCTCTCCTTGGCCTCACTTGAAGTCCGGAGAGCTGCTGGAAGCCATCTCGGGGTTGGCAGTGGAGTTCCCCAGGCTTATGGTCTTGGGGGACTTTAATCTGCCATCCCTGGGGTTGGCCTTGGAGGCGGCTCAGTTCATGGCTATCATGGCGGCCATGGGCCTATCCCAGGTCATCCACGTCCCGACTCGGGACAGTGGTCACACTCCAGACATGGTTTTCTTGTCGGAGCAGTGGCAGCGTGACCTGGTGGGGGGTTTGGTATTGTCCCTGGTGGCCTTGAGATTCTCCTATGCTGCCCCCCTCCGCAGGGTGGTGGGACCTATTCAAATGGTCTGCCCCCGACAACTGATAATCCCACAAGGGTTCCAAAAGGAGCTGGGGGTTGTTCCTGAGGCCTCGCTGCACGGTCCAGCGGAGGCTCTGGGCGCAGCCTGGAATAAGGCGGCAGCTGGGGCCTGGACAGGATCGCACCTGTGCAGCCTCTCTTGGCCCATTGCTCCCGGCACTCCCTGTGGTTTACGGACGAATTAAGGGAGCTAAAAAGGGCCAAGAGACGTCTAGAGTGCTGCTGGTGGAAAACTAAGGACGAGTCTGACCAAACATGGGTTAGAGCCACTATTAAGGCTTACCTCGTGGCAGTAAGGGCGGTGAAACGTCATTATTTCGCCACTCTTATTACATCTGCAGAGTGTTGCCTGGCAGCCCTATTTAGGGTCACCCGGTCCCTTCTGGGTAGGGAGGGCTCGGAGGACTATCTACAGGGCCGTGCAGAGGAATTTGCTGAACACCTGACAGATAAAATTGCTCGGATCCGTTCCCAGTTGGAGGCCAAGCGTGATGCAGGTCCAGTGGAGATGCCCAGGGAGCAGACTTTCCCAATTATCTGGGAACGGTTTGATCCTGTTGGACCTGAGGAAGTGGACGGGGTCCTCGGGGCTGTTAGTGTGGCCACCTGTTAGATCGTTGTCCTTCCTGGTTGGTTAAAGCCGCCAGGGAGGCGACACTGGGGTGGGTACTAGCAGTGGTCAACTCATCCTTGCAGGAGGGAGCCTTTTAAGGAGGCCCTGGTCCGCCCCCTCCTCAAGAAACCATCACTAGATCCCACCCTTCTGGACAATTTTTGTCCAGTTTCCCACCCACCCCTTTTATGAAAGTGGTGGAAAAGGTGGCTGTGTGACAGCTTCGGAGGATCCTGGAGGAAAAGGATTATCTGGACCCCTTTCAGTCAGGTTTCAGGCCCAGTTATGGGACAGCAACCGCATTGGTCGCACTTTTAGATGATCTCTGGCGAGAGCGGGGTGGG